TAAAAAAAGAATCTTCTTTTCAATTTTTTGAAAATTTGACTTCAAGATATTATGCTCCTTTAATAATAAATGATTCGAGTGTAAATAATAAAGTATAATAATAAAATATTTTATAGTGTAATGATAAGTCACGAATGTCTAGAATTTAACTTTATCGGAATAGAAAGGAATATACATAAGAAAAAGATAAAACGAGGATAAATTCTGTGCGAGACGTGCTGTATGTTTTATAGGCAAAACGTACGTCATAGCTATAATTGGCGATTATTAACATATTAGATCATTAAGAACTTTGTGAATCTTCAGTTTTCTTCTCTGTTCTATTGGCAAATGAGTTTTACGCGAATGATTGATGTAACTTATCTTGGCTTATGGAAACAAATGTGTCTACTTTGCTATTTGCAAGAATTATCATTAATCGTTTTACAGTCGTGTCGCGTGCTTTATCTTTCTTGAGATATTGATATAAGATATCAAGTATATAGATACCAAGTATATAGATCAATGTTAGATATTAATTCAAACGCGAGCAAAATTTTCGATAAAATATAAAAATAGAATTGAATATATATCTCGCGCAACGTTAAAATTTATTTTATTATAATTACATTCATAAAATTTATTTCATTCTCATTACATTCATGGTATCATTCATAGTATCACAAACAATTTTCATACCGGAAGAACGTGACCGGAAAGATTGAGAAACGGTTCGTCTGTTTGCGTATTCTCATTTTTCACAGAGTCTCTCGATATCTGACATTTGAACTGCGGATTTTTCTGCAATAAATTAAAGATGAGGCAACCTCGATGAAGTCATCGATTGAAATACCGTTTTGTTGTGAATTTGAAAACATTTCGTCATCGATATTCGAATATTTCAATCAAGAGATCTCTGATTTTTCCCTTCATTCATTTGTTTTATTCATCAATTGTAAAAATATTCGTGATTGAGTATTTTGCGAACGCACTATATGTTTCATTCGAAACCGAAATGTGGGTGAATCTGATAACAACGAGCGTAGCATTGACATTGAGTGCAGTATCGTTTCCGTCTTGATATCGCGGCAGAAAATGGCAGAAAGAAAGCGGAAAAAATGTGCCTATAATGGAATTAATGAGCATATCATCAAATTACATAGAAAACCTTTCACGCGCATCCAATTACGGCCAAGTATGTCAAGAAAAATGATCAATGCAAACAAAGACAAATGGGTTCGTAACATTTAAATGCCATCACAACGTCATGCAATCATATGATTGTGTATGCATTTTTTAATTATATATGTGTTAATTATATTCGTTACATGTTTGTGCGAAAATTGAAGAAAAAATTGAAGCTTATTTAATTTAAAATTGGCGAAAAATTTAAAGCTAAAAATTAAAAAAAAAATTCTTTAACACAAAAATTAGTCTATATCTCTATTCCGTTTTCTCTCTCAAGAAAGAAAGAAATAGTTATCTAAAATTTCTTTCTCTTCTTTTTTACGTCGACCAATTTTTTGAGATAATTAATGACTCGTAGATATCGGATGATTTATTCGCGATCGCATCAAAGTCGATCAGTCGTCGCGAATCAACTCAAGGACTTGTCGTTTGATGCGTGCAATGGCTGAATCTCCTTAAAAAGATTTAGAACGAGGACATATTGGGCGCGCGTGCGTGCCCGATAAAGTGAGAACGGTTTCTTCGGGGAAGGGTTATTTTTATCATACACGCGTCTGATTTCGGTCTAATGAAAGTCAAATTTTATATTCAACGATTCGTTTGATCTGCAATTAATTGAAAAACTCGAGCAATCCCTTGGAAAAAAAAGTACTCACAGTCTCTCTCATTAATAGTTAATGATGCCTATTTTTCAGACTATTGACTCATCTACATGTAAACTGTAAATTTTCCATGTTTGTCTAAAAATTCGTTTTTTTTTTGCAAAAATGATGCCGCACACGAGCATAAAATTTATTTTTTCAATTTAATATCTCTATTAATTCTTTAATTTTTCATTCACATTTTTATGATGGATGACGTAAGATAATAAATATGCAAAATGCATAAATGGTAGATACTTTTCTTCTTTATTTATCGAGAATTCTGCGTTAATTGATGATACAAGGCCACGGTTGTTCCCCATTTCGCGAAACGGAATGCAACAGAGAAATGTTTCTTAGAAACATTCGAAATCGGGACAGTAAAATGATACGCGTATGAAAATACGGATTTATTTTTATACGATATAATTAGAGTAATCTGGTTAATGGTAAACAGAAACGTAAATATACGATGTCGATAAAAATAATTATCATCATTTTAACCGTAATCGCTATCGCTAAAAAATATTGGCTGTTTAATCTTGTCTAAAATGAGCAAAAAAAACATTTTTACTTACTTACGCCTTCTCTCTCCGTACTAATTAACTAACATAAATATTAAAATAGTTCTAGTTCTTTTTACGACAATCTCATTTAAACTTTTCACTTTTGACGTTGCTAGAGAGGGAGATAATGTTCGAAGAAGAGTATTATTTATTTTTAGCCTTACTTATTTACGATGTAAAAACAGCAATGTCGAGGCATCTTTTTATTCACGCCGTCTAAATATATCATACGTGTGTGCGGAGGCGTCGGGACACCAACGCGTTCTTCTCATCGTTCCTGGCTAAGCATCTCGCATTTCGTGCAACAGTATAACGTTGCACTTTAAAACATAATCTGTCGGATGTAGAATAATTATCGTACACATATTGATGAACGACATATCGTGAGACATGCAATCATTAAATACAACAATCTCTGACGCTCGTACCATTTATCTGAGTCAGGTCAATTAATATCGCGACTTTAAATAATCGAACGTGAATGTGAATTATTATAATAATTTAATTTTTAGAGGTCAAAAAAAAATTTTATTTTCAAAAAATAGCCAGAAGTAAAAAATTTTCGTTTTTGAGTCAATCTATAAGAATTTATCCCTCATTTGACTATCCATTTGTAAAATACGATTCTTTTAATTGTTACATTAACATATGACTATTGATGGATGTAATTTTAACATTCACTGTTCTACCTTATATTATTGAGAAAAGATGTCGAGAGTAAAAGAATAAAACATATGTTTTCGTGAGTCGCGAAATTGAACGTTGGAACAAGTCGCAAATATTTCTGGTGCATGTCGCAATAGTCTCTGTCCCTCTTTCTCTCTTCTTTTTTAGCGTACCTCGCAATTTCCTTGCGACTTGCAGTCTCCCAATTGCAGAAAACAACATTGAAGTAATAACTGTGGGAGGCACAGCTGTTGTATGCGCTCGACCGCTTCGTTCTGCTTCTGTTCAATTCAATTTACCCGAGAACATTTTTCTTCGTGCGTGAACGCGTTTATACTTCGTTATATCATATGATATATTATCGTATGTTATCACTGACAATCAGCAGCGTGAAATAAATCCGCGAAAGTTGGCCGTGCGAGTTTCGCGTAATCGTAAAATCACAATCCAGTTACGTAGCTAAGATAATCATTATACAATTGGAACGATTACTTCGAAACAGCACGTCGCGATTGCGTTAAGTCACGATTGGTCGAATCCGATGCAAAACTTTGCGCAAAAATAAATGATTCAAAATATATTTTTTAAAATAAATAATTAATCAATTATCAATAAATTTAGATGTGCATATAATTATCAAAAAAATATAAATTTCCCGAGATGACTGTTTCATCGATTCCGGCTTGTATGTTAAGCGGTTATGACGTCAAGTTTACGCTCCAATCTGTCGGATCGTCAATTATTGTTCTATCCGGCCGATCGTGTAGTCCAACTTCCTGTTTCTCGTCGTCGGTTTGAAACATGTACTATTCTTATATGTCGTAAAATTAATCACTATAATTTATTAACAAATCTTTTATATTAAATTTTTATATTAAATTATATATATATATATATATATATATATATATATATATATATATATTCATTTTTAATCGTTTAAATAAACTTTTTTATATGTAGCTATTGTTTTTAAATTAATTACCGCATCTATAATGTTAATCCAATTAGAAAATAAAAATAAAAAAATTAACATATGGATTAATATCCATATCTATGTAAAAACCCAATTTATAAAGAATAATGAACATGTAATAAATTATGAAGGATGACTAGAATACTAATTAATGACTAGAATATACTAACTATTCATTTCTTTAAAAAATACTTTGTCTCTCTCTCTCTCTCTCTCTCTCTCTCTCTCTTTACATATATTGTCGTATAGTGATTTTCTTTCTAATAAAGATAAGATACCAACAACGAATTTAATATGGATTATCGAAATGCAAAAATTTTTCTCGCGCGCGTGTCACTTTCGCCATCAAACTGTCCATTACTCGCGTCGCAGTTATCGCGATCATATAAATCGAGGTTAATCCGCGGTTCATCCGCACTGATCTCGAACATCGTCGACAAGTTTGACGTCGACATATCGATTAAATGGACACTCGATCCCCTCGAAGAGAATCACATCGGCAAGCCGAGACAATGCACGCACGTAACGCAATTATCAATGTGCCATAGATTGGCTCCAGTCATCATTCAATAATCAGTCGTATAATTGCGACGTGAACTCAAGGACGGATCGAGATAAGTTTCTTCACGCAGATATCATATCTTTTCATAGGATCGATTAACACAAATAATAAAAAAGAAATGCGCATTAGAATTGATAATATTCAATTAATAATAATTAATGATTTAATTGATAATAGTCAATTATTCTTTCTTTGGATCTTTCTTTAAAAAATAAATTATTAATAGATGATTAAAATACTCCGAAAAGAGGACTGAAATACTTTATTTCGTCTTGAATCGACGAATAATTCTTACAGAATCCGAATTAAATTCCTTAATATCGTCTTCTTTATTTCAATCTCTCTTACGCAGCTTTATCCAGCATTGAAAAATATCTCAAAATCTCGAAATCACGAGGAAAATCATCTTCTTTTTATTCCAGATGAATATTACAAGTACCTTAGATTGATGGACGACTGTTGTTCCTTTGATCATCGATCTTTGGAAATCAGATTGATCAACCATGAGAATGTGAGGACACGCCGGGAGACACCCGGAGATAAAACGGTGGTGACGACCGACCAGAAGGACGAGTCAGCCAAGGATCAACCGTTGGCGCAGCCGCAACAACAGCAACCGCAGCAACAGCAACAACAAGCGTCGCAACTGGCGACATCGACCACGACCAACTCATCACACGACGTACAGTATGTAGCTTACTCGACTAGCGAAGCTACCGTTCAAGTCAAGCCCACCGACGCTATTTCCACTGTCCAAGCATCCAAGGACGCCAACGTCACTTCCGTCCCCAAACAGGACATCAACAAGAAGAAGGTGGCATCGCAACCAGTGAAAGCCGATGATACAGTACGTGCAATGATAGATTTATTATAGATGAAGAGAGAGGCTTGTTTCGAAAATTAAATGATCTCCATTCGTGTAAAACAAGGCCGCTCTTAAAGTTTATGAAAATTAAAAAGAAAGATGAATTAATCATACGATTTCTAGTAAAAAAAAAAAATCTGGATAAAATTTGAACAATCTGTGACTTCCCTTCATAATCATTCGCAGGCGACATTGAACGATTGGATGAATCGCACATTGGCGAGTCGCAACATCAGCCTTTCCAATAAGGAGCAATTATCATCGGATGGCAAGACCAATCAGACGAAGGAAGCGGAAATAGTGAAGGATACGACAAGCGGCACCGAGGACGTCGACAAACACGACGACATCGGCGACATCTCCATCAGCAATATCTCTGATGTAACCAACATCACGCTCGCGCAGAACAACATCACCAAGACGATCTACGACACGCATCAGTATTACAACAGCACCTTCATCGTCGACGCCGAGATCTGCAAGAAGTATTGGGTCGACTTGGACAATCATCCGGAACTCAGAGTCAATCATCTGCTCAGTAAAAGTCATCGACGCGCCGCGGTGAGAAATTCTTTCTTGATAAGGCGATTGTTATTGCAAAAAAATCGATTAAAAAATATATATATGTATAAATAAAAGATCAATAAAAATGTTGAAATCGATGTCAATTCTTTCAGGAGCAGATTTTTTAAAGATAAATTCGAAATAAATTCGTTGCAGACTGTCAAGTTGAAGTTCGATTTCCCTTTCTACGGATACAACGTGCGCAACATCACCATCGCCACCGGCGGTTTTCTGTACACTGGCGACTACGTGCACAGCTGGCTAGCAGCCACCCAGTACATCGCACCGCTCATGGCGAATTTCGATACCCGCCTGTCGAATTACAGTTATGTCAAGTACGCTGACAACGGTGAGTCATCGGATTCTCCAACAAACAGCGTCCGAAGGACGTTCGTTTTTTACATTTCTCTCTTTTTCGAACGAGAGCTATATCCATAGCCAATCGCCATCAATCGAAACCCAATGTCTAGAATTCATTTTCGCGTTTCTTCTTGCAATAGGTTAATGTATATAGATTTTTGTTAAAAAAAATTAGTCTTCTTGTTTTCTTTCATCTTAATCATTCATAAAAATTCATCGAACTCTTCTAAGATTTTCTCATTCTTTACCGTTCGCGAGATAAATCAGGGATCAATTTATTGGTTCTAACAATTTTAAGAATTAATCTAGGCTTATACGAGCAATTTAAACAAATGGATGTTGAAATATATTTTTATTTATTGAAATCCAATCATAATAAATCTAAGATGGAACGCATACAATTCTAAAAATAAAAAATATAAAAACGCATTGGGTTCGACAATTACTTTTGTCTCTTCAGCCAATAATAATAAATTTTAATAAAATTTGGACGTTAGATCGAGCTTACAGTTACTTAACATTAAAAAATGCGTAATGTTAAGTAACTGTAAGCTCGATCTAACGTCCAAATTTTGTTAAAATTTATTATTATTGGCTGAAGAGACAAAAGTAATTGTCGAAACGTCCCAATGCGTTTTTATATTATTTTATTTTTAGAATTGTATGCGTTCCATCTTAGATTTATTATGATTTGATTTCAATAAATAAAAATATATTTCAACATCCATTTGTTTAAATTGCTCGTATAAGCCTAGAGTAATTCTTAGAATTGTTTAAACACACCGAGCTGGCACATTCCATTTATTATTTCTTGGTTCTAATTATGCGCTAAGCAATTGGTAGCAAAGAAACGGCGCAAAACATTTGCGATAAATTCGCAGCGACAGGTATTATATTTTCTTTTCGTTTCACACGCAACAGGCACGGCGTTTACGGTCGAATGGGAGAAGGTGGTGCTACACGACCACCCACAATCCGGCGCGTTTACTTTCCAGGTGACCTTGCATCAGAATGGCGACATCGTGTTCGTCTACTCGATGATACCGCTGGTGATCGAGCGGATCGAGGACACGATGCATCCCGTCAAGGTCGGTCTCAGCGACGCTTACATTATGGATCGGACTGTATTCTGTGAGTATTGTTTTTGTACCGTTTACAGACGAGTGTTTAACGTCGCGTCGATTACGTAATAACGTTTGCATCATCGCTATTAAATATTAAATATAAGAAAACATGCGTGTGCATCTCTCTCCAATTGTATATCTATCTGCGGAATAAAGAATGTTGCAACGCATATAAAACCTTAAAATAGTGATGTGGACAAAGTTATTATGCAAAAAATATATGTACTATCCGTACAAATATCTACAATAAATATCTACAAATAAAATTTTTCAAATTCAATTCGAAAGAGTTTTTATATATATTTAAAGAATTTATATAATAATGATGAATATAAAAATATATTTATATTATAAGATGCTTGAAATAAGAAACTGTGTAATAATCTCTATTTATATTTTATTTAAAAAATTTATATTATATAAATTCATTATTATTATATAAATTCTTTAAATATATATAAAAACTCTCTCAAATTGAATTTGAAAAATTTTATTTGTAGATATTTATTGTAGTTATGTTGATAAATATATTAAATATATTAAAAATTACATATTCCCCCCCGAAAATTCGAATCACCGATCTCGTTTTGCAGTTGTGCGCCGAAAGACCATCTACGAGTACCATCGCGTAAACTTCAACCGACAAGACATAATGAACTGTACGGTCATCTACTTGAAAGCTTTGCCCACGTGCCTCAACTTCGACAACTGTTGGGACTGCCTGACGAAGGTGCCTGGTTTTGACTGCAAATGGTGCTCGGATCTGAACAAATGCAGCACCGGCACGTCCCGACATCGGCAGGAGTGGCTGCTCAAGGGCTGCGACGTCCGTAATATCAAAGAGGAGAATAACTGTCCGGCGCAAATCACGACTTACAGGGGTGAGGAATACGATCATGACGGTCACGTACATCCCGAAAAGCCGATCACTGCCAACGAGATAAGCGCCAAGCAGGAGAGACACGATAGCAGTCCCTTAAATAACACGAGTAAGCCATTATTCGTTTGCCATTCGTTGCTCGGATAATGTCCATCAATTAAAAAAAAATTGCACGACATGATTAGTTTCCGCGACTTTCTAATTCAACATCATTCGATGATTAATCGTAGGTGAAATAATCGAGGCGCAATAGTTATATTTTTTTATCTTACTTTTTTTTCAAAGAATATATAACGCAAATTGAACTTATTATATATCGAGAGACTCATTCCATTTATTTTTCAGCTCCAAACAATATGAATATGGGCGTCTCGGGAATAATCGGCATTCTCACCATCATTGCTTTAGTAGCGGGTCTCGCGGGTTGGGGCATGTATGCCTATCGCAACCCCCATAGCACATCGGGACAAATGCTAATCAGGGTAAGAAGAGTGTATATTAAATTAAAGACGACACATTCTTATGGCTAATATTACGCAAATCATCTTATCGATCTTACATAAGCTTATTGTATTTCATCATTATTAATCGATTGCTTGCATTGATTTTAATTATTGATTCGCTGACCAAGGATTAAATGTTAATAGTTGGTTTATCTCTCTTAGTGAATCTTTTGATTACCGTTATTTTCTTGCTCTAAAGTCTTAGATTTCCAGACATATTAATTTTTTCTAACGGATTTCTCACTTGTCGTGGGATTTCAGTATCGTCCGAGCCAATGGAGCTGGCGAAGAGGCGAGGCCCGTTACACGGCCGCGACCATTCATATGTGATGAGGTGTCGACGGAGATCAAGTCACAGTCAACTGCGAAACTGTCGGACCAAACTTCCTATTAACTGTACAGCGTATCGAGTTTGCGCACATATATAAAACGTCTACGACGACGCGCAGAACTCGTCAGGCTTGTATTCAATCGCATAAATACGGACAATCATTTCCATTTCATTTACGACGACACGTGGAATCGATTCACGCCAACAAGCAGCAAGAGAACGTTTTATTTTATCTTTTTCTTTCGGAAAAATATTTGATTATAACATATAAAAGTTATGGTATATTTTTTACTTACATGTACAATATATGAGACTATATCTCGTACGCGAATAATTCAAGAATAATTAAAATTGATCGAGGGAAAATTTATTTTGTTGAAAATCTGACATTTATTTGCTTAGACGAGTTTGCGAAGTTTCCAACGATTGCGAATGATTTGATGTGACATAAATTAATGTCCAAGAGATCGCTCCGCACGATCGAATGTATCGAATGGAGTTTTCGATAGGTGTTTTCAGAATATTTTCAAAATGCAATCGATGATCCAAGTTGCAGAGATGGGAGATATTGGAAGAAAATGACTCGCGACGGTTTTTCGCAATGTATTATATGATAATACGATCGTATAATATATCGGGGTACGGACGATTTCTGAGATCACTTGCCCGTCCGTCGAGCATTTATGTGATTCTTAACAGCACATGGTACATTTTGTTATTGTTTAAGAATTCGTTTTTCTTTTTTATCGTTAGACAAATTGCAATAATTGTTTTATATACGTAATATTCGCACGGCAAAGAGAGAAACGTTTAAAAAAAAATAAAAAAAAGGAAAAAAAGTTTTCGAACATTTCGAACGTTCCGAGCTAGCGTGTTGAAACTACAGTTTGATGAATATCTCGACTGAATGTCCTCGAGTAATCGATAAAAAAAGAAATATATTTCGATTCAGAATTGAAACTGATTGAAAATTCATCCTTAAAATTATTTACACGTTATTGTATACACATTCCAAAGTATATCTATAATTTCGAAATCTACGAAGCTATGTACAAACTGTAATTTCATCGGCGCAATTTATATTACATATATAATCATATATGTATAAATATATGTATAAATGTATGTATAAATAAATATTACATGTGTAATTATATGTATACATATATGTATATATATATTACATACATAATTTTTTATACATATATATACAAATATATTTTAGAAAAAGATGTTTTTTTGAAAGAGCACTTTATATAATATGCGTGATATGTTAAAAAAATTAAAAGATAAAAAGAAATTGAATAGCACACGAGATATAAAGATTTTATATAGCATCTAAAATATATATTATTATAGATCCTGAGAGTGTATATAGTAGTTCTACGAAGCAATATAATTTTTATCTAATTTTAAGTATATAATTCACACTGTCAAAGGGTGCCTTTTTCATAAAAATTTTCAATCGACATATCGTATAATAAAGCAACGAAGAAAGAATCTGACAAGGAAAAATCTCATTTTGTAAATCGCGAAAGAAACGTTGCTTAAAACGCGGCTCGAGATTCAAAAGATTCGTTTCGGTCCTGCTTTGCAAAATTCGAGAGAAACGCAAATTGTAAAAAATATTGCAATTTAAATAAAATAGTCGATCTGCGTCGATTTATTGTCACTTATTGAGATCAACGGATTTCATCGTGACGATGAGCGGACGACGGACTGGAGTGAATTATTGTCAAATTATTGTGAACGGCTTTTCTTACATTATTGTGTATGATTTAACTCATAGTTTGTGATAATAAATATTATAATTATTATAGTACGCGTAATGTGTTTTACCCGTAAAAACACCTTCCCTTGAAAAAGTATCGCAATATGTAAAATAGGCAATGTAAGAATGAAATAAAATATCTGTTTCTGATAAAAACCATGAAATATGATATAATTATCTACGATGTAATTATTTGCAAAAGTAAAAGATATATTTTACAAGTTTGCTTCATTCGAAATTATATATATTGCAAATAGCTTCCAGCCGATAAACAGGCTGCTGTTTCGTCTTGCGATTACCAGATGACACTGAATGTATTAAATTGTATTCGCAATCGCATACCTACCTGTGCTAATGCAACTCGTGTACAAACATTATAATATAAATTGCAAACAATACGTGAGATGAAATCCCAAAGTTAATAAAATACTATTATCGAATTAGGACAAATATATTTGTTAAAAAATATGATAATCTCTTGGAAATTAAAATTAATATTACTTTTATATTTTTCTCACGTTTAGTTATCTTTGTTATTTTTTTATTGATATAATTGATATTAATAGAAAAATAATTATTAATATGATGTAAGCGGCATATGTATTAAATGTTAAGGATAAATTGATATGAACATAATGTACTTTATAGTTTTAAAAATGATATTGTGAATATTAAATATTATAATAATAATATGTGCTATTTGGATGATTAATTAATAAATCTCATTTGATAAAAAATTAATTCGCGTTTTAATCATTCTGCCTTTCATCAGTCCCCTCTAGCTTTTAATATTTGTGAATATTCTATATCACAGCTTTCAATTCTGTTTTTAAAAATTGCACTATCGTTGTATAATCTATATAATAAATCTGCTTATTTTTTTAATATATAAAATGCATATCAAAAAAATTCCTTTTATATTTCTCACTTGCAATCTTTCACGTATAATTTTTATTATTTTTATTTTTATAATACTTTATATTTTTTTAATAAAAAAGAACTCTAAATAATTCTTAAAATATCGTGTCTCTTGAATGACGCTTTTCTTCTGAAAAGTAGCTTAGCAGCTTTCTAAATTTCTGTTAAATTCCGTACATGTTACTCCTATTATTCCAAACCATTATAGACTATGGTGTTGAAATCTCTGCCGTCAAGATCAACGCGCTGAAACCACTTAATTTCGCGATGAGGAAATTGCGACAAGAGCACTTTCGATGCATCGTATATAGCGCATGTTGTAGTAGCACATAGAACATGTGCAGTCCTAATACCTAATACATGTCAAAACGCATATGCGTTTTCACGGAACCTTTGACACGCCGCCATCAGGAATTTCTCTCGTACGAATTATGTAAAAAGCATATAAAAAAAGGTATAAAAATAATCCCCAAAAATCCACAAAAGAAGTCTATCAGTAAAAAGAGATACTTTTGTATTTTACTATTAAATAATATGACTAAAAGAAAACAGAATTATTAGTGATAGACATCTGTAATGTCTGTTATTATTTTAATACGGATAAAATCTTTATCAATAATAATGATAATTGTAGGATCGATTTGTCTTTTCATGAACCATCCGATATGCCTGGTGTTTTGTGAAGGTGTCTCATCCCGAGAGCTTGCTAAGGAGAGTGTGTAGTTGGCATAACGAGAGTATTTTCGCACACGAGCGGAAGCTAAATGTACGCAAAATGTTTAAATAATTATATCCTTGCTGAATTTATAACTTAAGAATATTTATATTACAATCGATAGTAGATTAATGAATTTATACTATGAATAAATTAATTGAATTTATACATGTTTTGCTTGCTTCTTGGATGTTTATTTTATGTAATAAAATAATATTAAATTATATTTAATATATTTATGTTTAAATTTGAGAGAAAGAATGTATTTTCATGAATTTGCAAATCTAACGGATGGGAATTTGTCAGATGCAAAGAATTATGTAAATTAAATGCTATGATTAAGTCGATCAAAATAGTTTACTGTCTGAATGTTATGATTTTTATTAAATATATTTTAATATTTATAATGAAAATAAATAAATTATATTTCTTTCTCTTGTAATTTGATATAAAAATTAATTGAATAATCAATTAAAAAAATATTTTTTTTCAAAAGTTATATCCTTCTTTTTATTATACAAATGTTATGTGTTGATTTCTGTATCATTGTGAGACATTTCAGATTGTCTTGAATTTATGACTCACTAAAATAAATTTCTCTCTCTTTGTATATATATGCTATTTCCTCTGAATTTGCGATGTTATCATTTTACACACAAGAGAAAAAGCGGCATCTTTTTCGTTTCCGAGATTTATTCCCGTGGATTTTTGAAACCGGGCTTTATCCGCGTTTTTATTGAGTCTTTCTACAACGAAGGGGATTTCCGGCGCGTAAAGCGCATCCCGTTTCACCTCGGCTATACGTGACAAAAGCCACTGCTTTTCGGTACATCGGGGATGTTACACTTTTTATCACGTAATAAAAACCTTTCATAGTCGCGTAGATTTCTTCTTTGTACGTCGATACTTTTTACAGAAATATATATTTCGCGGTTTAGTTATAGAACTATTCAAAACTGAAAAAGCAATTTTGCGATTGCATTAAATATTTATTAATGCAAACACATTATTGATAATCCTTTGTACTATAATTGGTGCAACGTATATATTGGTATGCTATGATATACTATGGGAACGGATATAATTTACAAAAATTTTCAGAAAAAATACAAAGATTTGATTAAATATAAAAATTCCAATTAATTAATTATTAGAATAGATATGCTCTCAATTTCGAATAAAATAAAAATTTACATTAAACAAGAATACCGTCTTCTAATGCAGGATATGTTTTAATTTCAATTGTCGGCAGATCCTCATCTCATTTAAATTAATTGTATAAAATTTACTAAGAATCTTAGAATAAAAAAAAATGAGAATGTTAAAAGCAAATGCCTGTGCAGAGGAATATCGCAATATTTCGTCGTATGTGTGTCTCTTTACAAAACGTCAAGTATTATCGAAGGATTTCGAAGCGACATCCTGGATTGCGATAGCGAAATTTTATGAGGTCGCCATCGCAATACCGGGACATCGATTCGCAGTTGCGAATATCGTGCTGACTCTATAAACGCGGTGACACGTGTGATATTGTCGCTGACGTTTATGTTGATTATGTCTCAAATGGCAATTGAAGTTTCTTTAAGTGAAGCGTCAAAATGTCACATCGAAATAAATACATACGTTGATTAATAATACGTTAAATAATTAAAATACATACGAATGTATCGACATTATAAAACACCTTTAGCGACATTTTTTCACATATAATATAATCTATTTCATTAGATATTTCTTTTTAGACATATCTCAATTACATTATTAAATTCCATTGCAAGTGCAAAATTAATAAAGTTAACTATTGTATTTTCTACCGAAATTTGCATTTCAATTTATCATGGCAGAATTAAATTAATAATAAACATGTACGTAATAATAACATTTATACTGTAAACATAAATATGTTGTGTCCTAAAATGTGTTTACATCATAATTTGGTTTATCAAACATGGAATGTCTAAATCTCAATTAATTTTCCAAATTTTATCGCTATGCTATTTTACGCATCTTTTTATAAATTTTAGTAAAATTCTGCTTGCAAAAATATTGCACTATATGTTATCTCCAGCGGAATTTTCAGCGTTTTTGCAGGATAAACAATTCATATGTGCTTCCCTTTGGAAAACGTTTGCGTTCGAGATTACTTGGGACGTGTCCCATGTTTCGCGCGGAGCTTTGGATCCGTAAAGCGGAAAAAGAACGCTCGAGAGCGCGTCAAAGAGCGAGATGCGCGCGAATGCAAATTGCAAGGTTTTAACGAACGTCTCGTAAAGTAAGGTATACTTTTGTAGCTTGCAAAGTCAAACACGGACAAGTGTCCCCCCAGGGGCTGCTTACTTATTGTTAATTCAACCGAGCCACCGAGCTCGGCGCAGGTCTTTGCTTAACGTCCGTGTTTGACTTTGGATCTAGACAGCAACCGTCGACAAACGCACAACTCACATCAGACTACAGCATTGGATTGTGCGTGGTACAGACCGTACGACGAGCTGAAACTACGCAGTAAAGGCTGCTAACAATGGAGTTTTGCGGGGTATTAAGGTCTCTTAAAACTTGAATCACTTTTTAACACGAGAAAATTCTTCTTCTCTTATTTTTAATTTAATTAATGTGCGCCAGATTTAATTCTCGACCTTATTTTCCACATTTTCCAGTTGAGCGATATATTGGTGGATATATTGGTCGTTAA